TACTGAGAGTTTGCGCTCCCTCATGCAACACGGGAACTGCAACCTGACATCGCAAGGGGAGCAAGGATGTTCTCCCAAAGGCAGCTTCCCAAGGCATCAAAAACACATTCCCACATGGATTTCAACTGAGTCAAAGCTGGAAGGGCACATTGGGATCAGGCCATTCCGCCTCCCCATGGACTAGATTGGGGCCAGGATGTGCTCTTCCACCAACATAACTAGACTTGGCCTCTTGTACCCCCCACCCATCTCCACCTGCTGGATTGGACCCACCAGCTGGATCTGGCCTGCAGATGGACTGGGCACGGTGCATCCAGCCCATAGGGCAAAATGTTTGAGCACCACTGCCTGGATGGTCACAAGGCAAAGAGAATTGTTCTTAACCAAGCACCAGAGAACTTTTCTGCCCTCCAGTGCTCAAAAATCCCTGATGATGGCCTTCCCTGCTGCAGGAGATTTGGGGACCCACATCCCAAGATGATTCTGGAACCTGGGTGCCCCAATTTACTAGAAAGTCTTGGAAATGGGACCCTCTTGCACAACTGAGCTCACTGTCCAGGTGAAAAAATCTGCTGGGTTCAAGTCCCCAGCTGTGCGGGGTTCAATGTCAGCCACCTCCTATATCCACCAATGAACTCACCTGATACTCTGCCAGAATTTACTACAGTCTCCATCTCCTCCCAGATGCTGAACAGCCCTGCCCTGCTTGCTGGGACTCTCTGCACCTCCACTCTACAGAGCCAAATGCCCCAGGCAGTAGCACTGAGCCACTCAGTGCTTCAGACAACACATCGTACCCTGAATATCTGCCAGTCCTGCCTGGATGCAATTTCATGGGGCCATGGCCAAAGTTTGAAGGTCTCATTAGGCAGCGTAAAGAGGGGCCTGGCTGCAGGGAGTATCTCGCTGAGGGGCAGTGACAGGCCTAGCTGGACTGAGCTGCAGCCTACAGCCCCATCTCCTCTGGGTGCCCAGTCCTCTACTTCCACCAAAGCTCTTTTACCTCCGGGACCAAATCCAGCCCATCTCCCGCAGCACCTGCAGCTCCTTTCCAACCGCATGTTCTCATGGGACCTTGTTCCCTGAGTGGCTGCTGTGCATTGCTCACACATTTTCTGCAGGAAGCATGGCATGAAATAGGCACTGCTTTAAGACAGAGATCAACCAGTGACCCTGGGGTGGAGGCAGGGGTCAAATCCAGAGACAGGAAGAACACAGGAGAATGAGCACCTCCTGCCCACAAATCCCACTCGCAGGCTGGAGGTCTCCTGGCTACCATATTCTTTCTGTAATATAGAGCCAACAGTCTGAACACACAACACCTCCTCTGCAAATGATTTGTCTCTTAAATGGGACAGAAAAGGACCAGAGCTTTGTGACCCCATCTGTGTACCTCTATTTGCTATTGTATTTTGTTTTCACACGGGAGACTCCCAAGATCTGGGTGATCTTACATTAAAGGTGATCTTATATTCCTAAGAAAGTGGAATCCAGGCTGGGGAGAACCACAGAGAAGCCCCTGCCCCAGGGGGTTTCCTGAGTCCCAGCCCAGTGTCCAGTCTCTCTCACCCTGCTCTCAGCTTCCCATTAGATCCCAGGCCTGAGACGTGCAGATCTGAAGAGCAGGTCACAGAGTCCGTCTCCAGGTCGAAGAGCTCACAAAGCCCAAGGAGGACACCAGCCTAACCTGAGTCCTCCCTTTGCCAGAGCTTATTCCCACCCCGGGAGCCACATGCAAATCTCTTCAGAGGGGCTCCTGATTAAATGCAGCCCCGCAATAGAGGAACCTCAGTGCTTGCACTGCCCCCTCCTGCCTGCTGTGGCGTCTCCCCAGTCCCGTGGCAATAGGGATGGAATTGCTCCGGCTTCTCCTCCTCCTCCTTTCTGCCCTCACCTGTGAGTGTGGAGGGGACTGTGGGTAAATGCAGGGTGGATCCCAGGATCTGTGTACTTCTGTCCTGTTCCAGCTGCAGCACGTCCCTCAGTCGCAGCGGTGCTCCATGGATCTGGTGTCCCTGTACCACACATCACTGGTACCCATGGCTGATTGAACCTAGGACAAATTTAAATCGCTTCGCCAAGACTTTGGCAAGCAGCTTATAGTCGAAATTCAGGAGAGTGATAGGCCTCCAGTTCTTCAAATCTTCCCTCAGACACTTCTTGTGCAAGAGGCTCATGAGGCTCTGGTCCATCCCAGGATCCCCCAGCATTGCTGACTGGGGCACTGCATTTCCTGCCTGAGTCCCACATCCCTGAGCACCTCCTTCCCATCTGCACTGATGTCTCTTGGGTGAGAAGCAGTGAAGGAGCCGGCCCCTAAGCCTGCTCCGACCCACCTTGTCCTTGCAGCACAGTGGGGTGAGCTGCACTGAGCCAGAGCCTCCTGGCAGCTCTTGTACTTCCTGGGCCCAACCATATACACATCCTCCCTGCCACCACCACACCCCGATCTCTCATTACCAACCCCTGGATCCCAGCAGCTGAGTGAAACTCCCAGGTCACAACCACCATGTACCTGCTTCCGGCTGTCCTCTCCCTCCTGGCCCTGCCCTTAGGTCACTGCTTGCCTCTCTCCATAACCCCCGAGGGCTCCATCATGGCTGGGCTAAGCCCCAGGGCAGGTTTCCCCTGCCCCACAGTGGGCAGCGCTAGGAGGGACATCTCATGGACCAGGAATTTCAGGGGCTCACCTGCTCCATGCATCCCTTGCAGGGGACATCTCTGAGGTGTGGCTGGTGCAGCGGGTAATGGAGCTGGTGAAGCCCAGAGAGTCTGCCTCGCTCGTGTTGTCTATGGTGCTGACCTTTGGGCTCATGCTTGGAGCTGGGTCCCGCAGCCTCCTGGGAAGGGCTTGGAGTGGCTGGGACTTATCCAGGGGAATACAAACTTGCAGTACAATTCAGTCTTCAAGAACTGAATCAAAATCACCGAGAAATCACAGATCTAAGAACCGGGTGTATTTGGTACTGAACAACATGGGGGCAGCTGACAGGGCCACCTACTACTGTGCCAGGGGAGCACAAAGACACAGGGCAAAGGGGTGTCCTTACAAAATCCCTCCTGCCCTGAGTGAGAGCACGTTCTGACGCTGAACCAGCACTACGTCACCTGCAGCAGGATGTGCATGCAAGGGCCTTGCCTTTCAGGCACACCCACCCCGTCCTGTTCGTCAGGGTTGGGCACTGCTGCCCTGCACTTCGGGTGAGATGGAGCAATTTAGGAGCCCAGAGACACAATACTTCAAGGCATCTGTTGAAGCATGAGCTTCATAGCACTGCTGTCTTGGGGCCTCATGTCCTAGGTTCCTTATCATGGCCTAGCCCCACAGGGACTCCAGTAGCCACCAATTTTGGGCCAGGTCATCCAAAATCCACATGTGACAGAAACACAGAGCGTGGTTGTCAGTGTGGAGGTTTGGGCTCACCTCCTCCCACCATCTAGCAGGTTGCATAGCCCAGGGCTTCTGCAGGCTCAACTCTGCCAGCAAGGGCCCCTCATCTGCCTGAGCCTGCTCCCAGCTTTCATCTTGTGGAGAAAGTCACAGGGATGTGAAGATAAAATGGCCATGGTCTTTCTGATATAACCTGGCTTTCCTATTGTCTGCTTTCCTACAAATCTAACCACAGCTGACAGGGGAGCAGGGATTTCTAAATACGCTGTACCTCTAAGTACAGCACCAGGGGAGAGATGTTCAAAATATTTAGGTGCCCAATGCCCAGCCATTCCAGAGAGAGCCAGATACCTACCAGCCTTCCAGCACCTGCACCCTCCTGTGCAGCAGGTCTTCTCGCAATGAGGTGAATGCCCCCAACTCTTTGGGAACCCCACAAGGCCACTCTTGAGAAGCTTGACCTCTCAATTCTCTGAAGATCTGCCCCAACAATACAAAAATGTCAAAGGTTGTGGCAGGTCAGGGCTGTACCGGATTTTGCGATCCTAACTGAATAAGCAGAGGGATTTTTTGGCCAAGTGACTGCAGAGCCACTCGCCATCATTTTTTAAAACTAATGGCTATAGGGGAGGCCCCAGATGATTTGAAAAGGGCAAACATAGTGCCCATATTTAAGAAAGGAAAAAAAAAGGAGGATCCAGGGAACTACACACCAGGCAGCCACATTTCAATCCCTGGAAAATCATGGTGCAGACCCTCAAGAAATCCATTTCTAAGTACTTGGAGGAGAAAAAGGTGATTAGGACCAGTCAGCATGGGTTCACCAGGGGCAAGTCATGCCTGACCAAACTGATTGCCTTCCATGAGGAGGTGGCTGCCTCCATTGATGTGAGATGTGTGGATGTGATATACCTGGATATTAGCAAGGCTTTTATTGTTTTGTCCCGGTTCACCAGGGGCAAGTCATGCCTGACCAACCTGATTGCCTTCCATGAGGAGGTGGCTGCCTCCATTGAATACCTGGATATTAGCAAGGCTTTTATTATTTTGTCCCACAACAGTCTCACATACAAGCTAAGGAAGTATGGGCTGAAGAAAGGACAGTAAGGCAGATAGAGAACTGGCTGAAGGATTGGACTCGGAAAGTAGTATTCAATGACCTGATTTCTAGTAGGCAGCTGGTATCAAGTGGAGTACCCCAGGGGTTGGTCCAAGAGCTGGTTTAGTAGTTCAGTGTCTTCATCAATGACCTGGAAGACATCATACAGTGCTCCCTCAGCAAGTTTGCACAGGACACCAATCTGGGGGGAGTAGTGGATATGTTGGACGGTAGGCTGAGGATTCAGTGTGACCTGGGCAAATCGGAGGTTTGGCCCAGAATGTATCAAGTGGAGTACCCCAGGGGTTGGTCCAAGAGCTGGTTTAGTAGTTCAGTGTCTTCATCAATGACCTGGAAGACATCATACAGTGCTCCCTCAGCAAGTTTGCACAGGACACCAATCTGGGGGGAGTAGTGGATATGTTGGACGGTAGGCTGAGGATTCAGTGTGACCTGGGCAAATCGGAGGTTTGGCCCAGAATGTCTCTCATGAGGTTCAACAAGGACAAATGCAAAATTCTGCATTTAGGATGGAAAAATCCCAAGTCCTAATACAGGCTGGGGGCTGACTGCCTGGGCAGCACCTCTTCTGAAAAGGACCTGGGAGTTACAGTGCACAATAAGCTGAATATAAGCCTGGAGTGTGCCCTTGTTGCCAAGAAGGCTAACGGCATCCTGGGCTGCATTGGTAAGTGTGTTGCCAGTAGTTCAAGGGAATTGGGTCTTCCCCTCTATTCCGCACTGGTGAGGCCACATCTGGGGTACTATGTTCAGTTTTGGGCTGTATAAAGACAGTATAAAGAGCAATGGTCTCAAATAGCAGCAAAGGAATTTTAGGTTAGCTATTAGGAAGAATTTTCTCACGAGGAGGGTAGTAAAACACTGAAACAGGTTACCCAGAGAGGGTGTGGACTCTCCATCTTTCAAGACCCGGCTAGACAAAGCTTTGGCTGGGATGATCGAGTTGGGGATGGTCCTGCTTTGAGCAGGACATTGATTAGATGACCTCCAGATCTCCTTCCCAAACTTAACTTTCTATGATACTATGCTAAATGAGTCTGGCCCAGGGGTGGTGAAGTCTGGACAGACTCTCAGCCTGACCTGCACCGTGCCTGGATTCTCCCTCCCCAGCTGGGATGTGCACTGGGCTCACCAGACATCAGGGGAAGTGCTGGGGTGGGACTAAGCTATCTGGGCTGGTGGAGGCACCGTCTCCAACAGTGCTCTCCAAAGCCACCTCAGCATCAGCAGAGAAACATCCAGCAGTCAAGTGCACCTGCACCTGACCAGGCTACAGGCTGGAGAAACAGCCTGGTATTACAGTGCCATAAAGGCACACAGCGAATGAAAACCCATGGGAGCCTGCACAGAAACCAGCTCTGCAGGGCCCGCCTGCCTGGGCAAGAGTCAGAGGCAGCAGCACCGTGCTCAGCCTGCTGGGTCAGACACACCAGTCTTTAGATCACTGGAACCGGCCACGTGTCGCCTCGCTGGAGCACTGATCAACGTATGCTGTTCACACAAAGGCTTTGTTAAATCTTTGGCAAGAGTATGCCTGACTAGCAACCCTAACGGATGCATGAGCACCTCACAAACAAAACATGGCATGTGGGCCAGATGTGCACTCCTGCCGAGAGATGGGATGCAGAAATGATGGTTCAAGGCAGCATAGTCCAGAACCAGGCTAAAGTTGGAACAGCAACCCCTAGGTCAGAACATGGAACAAGGCCCTGGTACAGGATGGTCTGAGACATTCAAGATACAGATGGAGTGTAACACATGATTTGTTTAAACCATGGTATAAAAGGAGAATCAGAAAATTAGAGAAACATTGCAGTACCCTGGAGGAGCCTGCATGGTGCTGTGCTGACTACCTTGTCACAAGGACAAATGCCGTAGATCCTGGTCTGATGTAATTGTTAGGTCAAAACGTGTTAGGGCTGTGCCTGCAGACAATAAACCTGGCCAGATCTTTGCCACCAAACTGAGTCTGTTTTCCTTCTCTGAGACGAGATTGGTGTTGAGAGCGCTTGACTGTGGCTTGTCGACACCGCAGCTCCTGAGACTTGAACACTGACAACACATTATTAACACCCGATGAGGACAACAGCATTGATGACAAGGACAATCCCAGATGACAGCCAGCCAGCAGGAGTCACTGCTACAATTGAGCACCTGGAGTGCAGCAGCCATGTGGGTTCACCCTCTGAGCTGGGAAGGGACATCGCAGCCCCACGGTGGTGACCAGAGGAAGTTGGCTGGGTTTTTCCAATGCAGCAGGAGAGACCAGCTCCCATCATGAATGTGATCCCTGCATCCCCCTGGGAAACAGGCCCCACTCAGCTCCAACACGCATGGGAGAGGAGGAGAGAAAGGAGATGATGAAAGCAACAGGCCTCACCCCCTGCAGGCTGCTTTACAGCAGGTACACTTCCCTGCCAGACTCCCTGCGAGCACCTGCCATGGAAAGGTTTGCTCCAGCCCTTCTTCTTTCGCAGACACCAGACAAGTCCACGGCCACATGCTCAGAGGCTGATGGGTACATGGGATCACACACAGGAAGGATACCCAGCACCTGAGGGATGGTGGGTGCCCGAAACCCTTTTGCAGCCTGAGCAATCCCCATCTCCTGCTGAGCTCCCTGCCCTGCCTCAGGGGGATGAGTCTCCTTCACACAGACTCTGACCAGTGCTGGCAGGACTCAAATGCTCTCGGTTCTTATCCCCAAAAGGGAAAGCACATACAAAACCCTGTCTCGGGGATCTACAGTGGTGTGGCTTAGTGAAGACAGGGCCCTTCAGAAAAGGGCAAGGAAATAAGGCCCCAGACCCTGGTGTGGGAGGTACCCAGACACATGGGGTGGGAGGGTCCAGCCACTGTCTGTGCCCGGCACAACTGATCCCCCTCCCTGGGGAAAGGAGCAGGGTGGTATAAGGCAGGGGATATGCAAATCACAGACAGGCCGCCCGGTATAAATCACTCTGTCCTGCTGCCCAGACAACCCATAGCCCTCAGGTCCAGGCAGTGACCACCAACACACAAGAGCTTCCCCCAGCACCAGGGAAGATGGGACTTGGGCTCCACCTGCTTGTCCTGGCCGCAGCTCTGCAAGGTATGTCATCTTCCCACAGGTAGGGGAGGGGAGCTTTGCACGGATGCTGCCCTGATACTAGTTACTCTTGGATCCTACCTTGCTTTTCAGGTGCCTGGTCCCAGGGGCAGCTGGTAGAGTCTGGAGGAGACGTGAGGAAACCTGGAGACTCTCTGCGCCTCTCCTGCAAAGCCTCTGGGTTCACCTTCAGTAGCTACTACATGAACTGGGTCCGCCAGGCTCCTGGGAAGGGGCTGGACTGGGTGGGTGATATTAATCCTGATGGATCCACCCAGAGGTACTCCCCGACTGTTAAGGGGCGATTCACCGTCTCCAGAGACAACTCCCAGAACATGGCATACCTGCAGATGAGCAGCCTCAAACCCGAGGACACAGCCCTGTATTACTGTGCCACAGACACAGTGACTCAAACCCTATTCATGGCAATACAAAATCCCAGTTCAGATCCTCCCTTCTAAGATGCCAGGAGGGGGCAGCCACCCTGCACAGCACAGCCCTGCACAGAGGCAGGAGGGGACACAGGGGACAGGGGAGAACAGACCCCAGCCTCTAGACTCCTTTCCACTCCAGAAGCCCTGACAAAAGCCACCCCCAGGCCCAACTCTGCAGACATGGCTCCAGGCCACAGGAAAGCCCAGGCAGGTCCTTCTCAGTGCATGTCCCAGGAGGACAGCAGGTCCAGTGGCAGCAGCAGCCTGGGCAGTGGGGTGTACCCAGGTCAGGATGTGGGGGGAGGAAGAGGTTTGAGCTGAACAAGCTTTGGCTCTATCACCCGCTGCTGCCCGGGTCTCCGCTCCACACAGCCGTTCACCCTCACTGCTGGCCACGGGAAACCA